ATTTTTTCCCGGGTGGAGATCATTTTTAACAAGAATTACCGGAGTTCACGACTCATAAACGAGTATACGTTCGTACTCCTAATCATAAATAAATATACAATTGTAATTTTACTTTTTACAACAATGATAGAAGATGTAAGAAATCAGAAACAAATAGAGATTTAATTTTTGCAATTATTGTTATTATTAGCTAATGCACAAGTTAAAGTACTTACTTTTTACTTCAGAGTATGAAGTTGTAGGTAAAGTTAGTGACAACGACGATTCTTTGTTTTCAGGATTCACTGGACCATCACTGTCGCAATCGCAAGAGGCTTAGTTGAAGCCTTATCCCCGAATATTGAATCCAAAACCTATAGTTACATATCTTTATTATACAACAATAATAATAATATAGAATTTATCTTTTTGCACTCATAAACATACTGCATGCAATAGAATGTGTACAATAAAATATACTTAATACATATGAGAAAAGTAGACATTTTACAATACATTTGTTTACGTAAAATATATGTAAAACATTCTTACCGAAAAGAAAGCCCATGAATTTCTCTGGTTCCCGCTTTTTTTGTTTTGGTCGACAATATTTTTATATGTTCGCTTCAACCCTGACATTTTGGACGTACACTGTTGACCTGTTACATTATACGAAGAATTCGTTTCTTTCATAGAAGCAGCAATTTCGGCCCAAATTTTGTTACTACGCTTCATTCCACTTGAAAAATCCTCTTCCCTTTCTCTGTAGAGTTCCAGTAACAGAAGTACTGCTTTATCCGGCCACACGAATACCTTTGTCTTGTCTTAAAGCATTAAAATAAAAAGCAGTCACAATTATTAGATAATAAAAGTATATGATATTATGCTTGAGTACACCAGCTTTTAAACAAATTAAAAAGTTATTTGTACATTGGTTGTACAAAAACTGTTCAGTTACCTGAATTGTTTCGGTCTACAGAATTTTCTGAATCTTCTGCTGATGTTGATGTTTCCGGAGCTGTATTCTCCTTTTCTTTTTCATTTTTAATGAGTTGCAACAGAAAATCTTCGTCTATGAGGAAATCACAATGATGAACATCTATTTAATGAAGTGAGTCATAATAATACAGAAATACATTATAATTTTACCTGTTGTTGCCTTTTCTATGTCTTTTTTACTTAAGAATAACGTTAGAATTTCATCTTCTCCTACTAGCACCGGAAATTCAGATAATTCATTTGGTTCCATTGTTCGGTAGAAAAAATTACTGATTACGTTGAACGCGTAATTCCCAATTATACAATGCAGAGACTCGACTGTCGGGCCTCACGCGGGGTGATGCAATCCCGAGAACCAAAAATTTCTCTTCTAGGTTAGAAGACGAACGGAACTTGCAGTGAAAATGTGTTCCGAATTATGCAAGAAACGCATAGACCGCATGAACGCATTAGACGCATCAACTGCCTCAAGTCAAAAGAGAAGCAGTCAATGCGCTGGGAGGAGTGCTAAGAATTCAGTACGGTTAGTACACTCTAGGGAATAGGGTCCTCCACGATTTTTTGTTTTTTATTTTAAATTAAAGTTCTGATGCTAAAAAGAACTATTACAATAACAAAAGTAATTAAAAATCGTTAAATGATTTTTATAACAAGTTTCAAAATTGCGACCAATTTAAACGCCCAATTTTTCGCGCGCCATACTGTGACGTCATTATTCAGTAAATAGGTTAGACTGGGTTAGACTATTTCGAAAGCTGACTGACAACGATAGAAAACGCAGAAAACATGCCAAATACGGTTAAAAAATGCAGTTACAAGTGGTGCTTTGTTCCCTTGTGTAAGAGTACAACTATTCATACGCCTTCTAAAATTTTTGTATCGGTGCCAAAAGGCGATATTAGGAAGAAATGGTTTGAAATCGCAAGACGGAATGATGCTTCATCGATATCGCTCAGCACCAGCTTGTTTTGCTGTCAAGATCATTTCCATGTAAGTTATACTTTGATTGTGTATATTTAATAAAACATAATCATAACGATCCATTACAGTTGCAAGAAGATATAGAAAACTATATGAGAGTACGACTCGATCCAAATGCTTCTGTACGATTGAGAAAAGGTGCACTACCAAGGATATTTGATTGTCAACCTGATAGACAATGTTCTCATGACAAACTGACACGTCCAGGGATTCTAAAGCGTCAGAAAATGAACACTTTGAACGAAATCCTACAAACTGAAACAGTAATCGATGATAACATGGACTATGAATACGCAGAATGTAATGCAACCGAGTTGATGGATATTGACACTAATACTGATCATTCAAGTAATATTAAAAATGTAATTATTGAGCACATAATTTTCATTTAATTTAACTGTATAAATAAAATATTAATCATTTATCTGCAGATGATCTTTCAACAACTCAACATCAAATGGTTGTTGAAGTTGATTGCAACGATGCGACGCCAAAATGCAAGGATGTTGGTATTCAAGTGAAAATGCGTGACTGTAAAATTGTAAAAATGCGTAGCAAGTACGTACAAAACGTGCCAACGATGCAAGATGCTTCGTGTTCGACAGAACAAAAAACTCGTCAGAATAAAATTGTATCTGAATCAACGTCGACC